GTTCCGACTCATAGCCACCCTGTACAGGGTTTCCGAGGCTGTAAATCTTTACTGGAGCAGAAAGCCTCATCTTTCTCCCACGGAACAGCTGGTAGTTTCGAACTGCTGACCCTGCGGCTCGCAGCCCAGTTCGTAACCACTACGCTACCAGAGCTCCTTAACAAATATTTAGATGTATATAAATTTGTAATTAAGAGACTAGAGCAGAAAATATATTATTACCTTTTGTTGATATAGTGAATCAAGGTATAAATAACATCTCGAAGAACAAAGGCCCAAGCACCTCCTAAGCCACTTTTTATATCCTTCAGTAATAAACTGACAAACAGGTGATATATTTTAAGAATTCTATTCTTTTTATATACATTATTTGTCTCAGCTGCTTGTTCACATATGGCTAGAAGAATCTTCTGATAGGAATCCTAGGAAATAAATAAGCACTTAATAAAAATTTATATAATCACATACACTCAACAATAATAAATATATTTTATACTCAAAGTAGATAAACTGCAAAATTTAGATTTGAGTTTGATATCAAATGTAAAACATTACATTATTAGAATTGCTATCTTAAACTTAAAAATAACTATTGCCTTAAGATAGTGAACTATAATTAAATAGCATGTTTTTTAAAAATTCAAATATATTCAGTAAGTTTATATAACTAAAGTGTTACGAAATTCAGGTCTCATATATAACATATTTCAAATTAATCTTGACAAGTGAATTATCAAGATATAAACCTGTAAACGAGTGTCATTTAAAATTGTTCTATTTATTTATCTTCCTCAAAGATGCAGTTACAAACATTTTATGGTGGAAAAGAATGATCTCTTCAATTACACGAGTAATTCATACTTACGGGACTTTTAGAAAGGATTTCTAAAATGTTTTTAAACTTGGTTTTATGGCAGTTGCTGATATAAGCAAATGTTGCTTTAATCACATGCGATGGAAAATAAGGTGGATTAGGAGCAGGATCCAAATCCCTAAAAGAGTTGTAAAATATAATCAACATTTCACTTTTATTTTTTAAATACTTTATTTTTTGAGGGTTTTAGGTATACAGAAAAACTGTGCAGAAAGTAGTTCCCATTTACTTGCACTCTATGAACACTGTTTTGCCTATTATCTTACACCCCCCTGTGGTGCAATCAATATAAATGATAAGCCCATACTGCTACAGTATTAGTCCACAGTTCACATTAGGGTGATATAGCCTTATGTGTTTTGACAAATGCTTAATATCACATGTCTACCATTACAATACCAAACAGAATTGCTCAATACTCTAAAAAGGTCCTAAGTTCTGTCTACTGATCCCTCTACTCCTATGCCTTGCTAATCACTGATATTTTCATTGTCTCTATAGTTTAACCATTTCCAGAAAGTCATTTATTTGGAATTACATAGCATCCAGCTTTTACAGATGGGTTTCCTTCACTTAACAGCATGCATTTAAGAGTCCTCCATATCATTTGTGGCTTTATAGATCATTTATTATGCACGGTATGGATGAATTAGTTTCTATATAAAGAATATCTTAGTCACTTCTATTTTTTGTCAAATTATGAATAAAGCTGCTATAAACACTGGTGTGCAGATTTTTATTCATCACACTTGGATGAATACCTAGGAACAGGATTACTTAATCAACTGCTAACTCTATGTTTAGCTTTGTAAGAAACTGCCAGACTACCTTCCAAGAAAGAGTGAGTTTCTGCTGGTCCACATCTTGATGAGCATTTGATGTTGCCAGTGTTTTGTATTTTAGCCTTTCTGTGGAACCAACTTGATGGCACAAAGGAGCCAACAGCAATGGCAGTATAGCAGTATCTTATTGTCAGTTTGATTTGTGATCTCAGTGAGTTCCATTTTGGGGAATGACAAAATGCTGAGCACTTTTTCATATGCTAATTACTCATCTGGAGTCCTGGTGTGGCACCAGACTGCAAAACAATTTGAACTGCAAGGTCGGTGGTTCAACCTCACCAGCTGCTCCTTGGAAACCCTATACAGGGTTGCTATGGGTCAGAACCAACTTGACAGCACTTAACAACAAGTACTCATCTATATATCTTCTTTTGTGAGGTGTCTGTTCAGATCTTTTACCCATTTTGTAACTGGATGTTTGTGTTCTTACTGTTCAGTTTTAAGAATTCTTTGTATATTTGAGATATGTCTCTTGTCAGGTAATTGTTTAACAATACATATCTCAACTGTTCTTAAGTACAGCAGATAGTTTTATTTTAATAAAATCTTACTCATTTTTTTCTTTAATGAATTGTGCTTTGGGTGTTTCTAAACTGTCATCACCAAACCCAAAATTGCTTAGATTTTTTTTTTATTGCTTCTTCTATGTATAATTTATGTCTTACATTTAGGTCTATGATCCATTTTGAGTTAATTTTTATAAAAGAGACCAAAACTCAAAGAACATTAAACTTATGAAATGAAAAGAATACTAGTAGACTAGTGATCGAAATAGTTAAATTAGAAGAAAACTAGCTTTAGGAAGAAATAAAGGGAAGGTTATGAGTTCAGTCTAGAACATGCAAAATTTATGGTAGGGCAAATAGAAATACTGTTATTAAAAATAAACACTAGTGAAATATCAAGATTGGAGATCCAGATCTTGGAGTCATTTTCAAAAGAACATCAGAGCACAAAAGATAAAGTTTTAGAAGATTCTGATAGCTAAGGTGCATGAAAAAGAAAAGAAGGCCTAGAAAGGCAAGGCACTTACAAGTAGAAGAGAACTGAAAATGATGTATCATGAAAAAGATAAGTTTCAGAGACCACATATGGCTCAATGGTCAAACATTACAGAAAGACTGAGAAGAAAAAGGTTATGTATTTGTCATGAAGGTTGTCAACTAGAAAGAGCAATTACTGTGGAGGGGCTACAGAAGCAGAAAGGTAATTACTTTCACTCAAAGGTTCCTATTTAGAAGCAGAGTACGCGTCTGAAACACATTAAATAAAGTTGCAGTTAGTGCTCTTAACTTTAAAATGTTCATACCCTGAAAAATCACAGAGGTCAGTGTTTTGGCTGGCACCAGAATTTGCTGGTTCATGTAATGTCATCAATAATTCCACCACAATCTCTGGTAAATTACTAATGAATAAATGATCAATCTGTAAAATATGACATTAAAATATCATATTAACAGTCTTAATAGTCTGTGACTGTTAAGATAGCTCTAAGGATTTATTTCCAAATATCATTCAGCAACTATAGTAGGAAAGAGATTACTAAAAGTCCAAACCTGTAAGGCATAATAGTTCTTACCTTTTTCTTCTATGAAGCTCAAACGCTAGCCTGAGAGTAAAGTAGGGGAATTATACCAAGTGAAATTCCCTTAATCTGACTCTAACTTTAGAGAATCATTTTCACTGACTAGGACTTTAGACCTAGCATTAAATTCTTTAACCCGATAATATTTCTACTAACCAAAATCCACCATGATCCATAACGCTCCTCAACCTGGATTTCAGGCTTGAAACATCTGGGGATTCTCTCATTCATAGAACGGGACCAGTAAGAATTGCAGTGACTAGCAATGATCCCTACTGTTCTCTGCATGATTTCCCCCCACATTACTACATGGCTGATATCCCAAACTTAGGCTAGCTGCTACCCACATCCCCATCATCAAAAAAAGGTGAAAATCCTTCCCCACAGGAGGTACTGGCAATCTACTCCTCATTTTAGGTAACCTCACAAAGGACATGTTGTTCTTGATAGCTGATTCCAACTCATGAAAAGCCCATTCTCTAAATATAAAGAACAGATCCTTACATTCATTCATTTTTATATGATTTTCTGTTATGCCAGATCTATAATGTCTAGCTAACACACACATAAATTGTTTAGATCGCTAGGTATAGCCAAACAATCTTGAGAAGTGTGAAAGCTTCAAACAAAGACTGTCAACAGGTTGTACTGGCATTTAATTCACAGATAAAAGCTAGAAGATTATTGCCCTAATAATGCGCTTCCTCTAAATCAAAGGGGGGAAAAATAACATAACCACAACTTAATGCTAAATGAAATTTAGTCTAGCAAGAATTTCCCTTATGTCTTTAACCAAGAACTAAAGAGTTCATTTCTTATTTTTTGTCTCTTTCCATCACTGAGACTGGGTTAAATGTCATCACTTTTCCCTTGCAGACTTATAGCTATCTTTTGGTATGAAAACATAAGAAAGAAGGATAAAGTTAGGAGTGCTTAAAATCCTAAACTGGGGAAACTGGGTGGGAGGGGAAGAGTGTCTCTGTCTAATTCAATACACTCTGGAGAGCCAAGAATGTTTTTAACTGTCTTTTGTGAGAGGGACTCCTCTACTCACCAACTGCCATTAAGACTATATACTTACAACCAGCTCTCACTGATAGTGGTCTACCTAAACTACAGGAATTTTGCTGTTCTCTTCAAAGTTTGATACAGATGACTAAGCAACCAAAAAGTGTCTCTTGAAGTAATTATTATGCTAACCAAGCTGAGCTAGTCAGCCCCTACTTAACATTTAGAAAACGCAAAACTTATATTTTCATAATACAAGTTGCAGCAAATAATTTTTAATGTCTTGTAGGATAAGCACTGGACTACAAGGTCAGTTTGAACTGCAAGGTCAATGGTTCAAACTCACCAGTGTCTCCTCAGAAACCCAGTACAGGGTCGGTATGAGTCGGAATAGACTCAACAGCATTTAACAACAACAACATAAATTACTGCAAAACCAAGCCTATCAAATATTTTTTTTCACTGATTCCTTTTAACAAATATTTAACAAGGAGTTAATATATACTAGGTGGTTAGAATAAATCATTGAAAGAAAAAAAAAAAGACTTTATCTTCACAGTGCTTATCCTATAGTGGGGAAGACTGCTAAGAAATAGTTAACAAAATTCATGGATAAATTATATCACATGCTAGAAAGTAGTAAGATAGGATACAATTTATTGACATGGAAAAGAACAGGGTACAGGACTGGAAGTTCTAGGGATGGGCTGGTACTTTTCCTTGAAAAGTGAAAGGCAGAATGCGATTGTTTAATGTTCAATTTATATTCATGTATTGCTGGCAATTAAAATAAACTTTTAAAATAACAAAACTATTCAGAAGTATTTTTTGTTTTCTGATAAGAACATTAGCATTTTCTCAAATGACAACCGAAAAGACAAAACACTGCAGGATGAAAACAGTTCATCATGCTACAGAGTGATTACCATATGTTCATATTAATTGTACAATGGTGAATAAATAGCTTTAAAACTATAAACTTATATTTTAGAACAAAAGAGGGATAAAAAGCAGCTAAGAGTTATAGCCATACCTGTTTTCCTAACAAGCTTTCATCTTTGAGCAGATCATAGACTTTGGCAGCAGTCTCTCTTTGCTGTGACATCCCACTGTCCTCTGTACTCTCATAGGCAAAATAAGGAAGAATATTGACAAGAATCTTTGGAAAGCAGTCTGTTAGAAGACTTTTCCAATCTTCTTGAATCTGATTAGCAATGGATTTCACCTCATCAAAATGACTTCTAATCACCAGATGTGGGATTAAAACCTTATAACAAGATCTAAAAACACAAATATTTAAAATATTGGTTTTATATAACTTTTCAAGGTAACATTTTATATTATTATAGTTCTTAAATAATAAAATGATTTAAAACAGTCAACATTACATCAGTTTATCTAGACCATTAATCATTTTTATTCTTAACTCTAATTTTATAAATGGAGTCTTGGTATGGCACTGTAGGATAAGCACTTGACTGCTAACCACAAGGTTGGCAGTTCAAACCCACCAGCTGCTCCTAAGAAACCTTATATAGGGTTGCAACAAGTCGGAACCAACTTAAAGGCACTTATCCACAGCAATTTTACAAATGGAGAAAAGATGTTACATAAATTTGTAATAGGATTTTGTTTTTCAAGAGATTTGTGAAAACGGCATTAGCACTGTACACAAACCATTTATACTAAAAAATATAAAACTATATTCTTCTGAAAGATGTTTCTAGTATATTTTAGGTCACTTCAATATATGGTTTATATTATTGTTGTTGTTGTTAAGTGCTGTCAAGTCGGTTCTGACACATGGCAACCCTGTTTAGGGTTTCTGAGGAGCAACTGGTGAGCTTAACTGTTCAAACGACTTTGCAGTCCAGCGCAGTAATCAACAGCTCCACACCAGGACTCCATATGATGTACAGTACAACCATGTTTTTTAAAAAGCAATGACTTAGGCAAACCAACCATAGTCTGTTAAATCATTTCCCTGTTTTTATTTTAAAATCAGGGTTGGGTTTCTATATAATCTGAACATCTTGCAATGTAAAATACAGCACATTAGAAAACAGGGTCGCTATGAGTGGGAACTGACTTGATGGCACTGAACTACAACAAATTTCAAAGTGTATGGCCAAATAACAAAGATAACATTTTCCACATATCTATGCAATTTCAGCTTCCGAGATTTTGAAGTCATAATGCAGAGTTACTTTTCTATTTTAATAAATCAAGTAATTTTAGCTGAGGGAGAGATGGACAATGAGACCGATGCTTGGGCCAATTCAAAGAGGACCAAGACTACCTCCTGAAATACTGTTTCATTAGGCGAGTGTGCATTTTCTGCTTGTTACAGAGTAGCTACTTGCAGTGTAGGCTACTGCTACAGAAGGGTCAAGACAGTGGTTCAGCTAAAGCTAAGAGGAGTGGCTGGTGGGTTTAAACTGTTGACTTTATGGTTTGCAGTCCAGTGCTGATCTTATAGTGTCACACCAGGGGTCAAGTTATCTATAGACTAGCTGAAAGGGACCTTAAAGATAACCATATACAATTCCTTTACTTTGCAAATGAAAAAACAACAACACAAAGCCAAGAAAGTTTTTATATAGTTTACCAAAAGTCACATGGCTAATTATTGACCTAGTTAAGACCTGACCTTTGTAAGTTCAATGACTCCCAGTTCGTCTCTTATACTATGCAGCCTTCCACATGTGTACGTGTGGAGGAGGGTGGAGGTATAAAAAGGAGAGTATTGCCAAACACTATTACCTAATTTTAAATTAAACATAATTCACATATGCCATATGTAAACTGACCTATAGAAATCTTCAACGCTTGTGTAGTTTAATAAAATAAAAGGAAAAGAAGATAAGCTGTATTCAGTATCTTGATGGTTTAGCCACTCCAAAACTAGATAATCTAAATGAGAAGTCATGAAATCTTCCAGGTGTCTATATCCAAAAATTTCAGATATTTTTTCTAAAACCTGTAAAAATAAAAAAGAAGTCAATGCTTTAAAAAAAATCATTTTAATTCCTATAAATACTATTTACACTATGACCTTGATACACTCATTTAACTTTTCCATACATAAATTTCCTCATCTGTGAAATGGGGATAATAAAATATTTATCTCTGATAATAAAAATGTGAATACGATTAGCATAGTCCCCAAGGAGCCCTGGTGGTGCAATGCTCAAGTGCTCAGATGCTAAATAACTAAAAGGTCAGTGGTTCTTCCCCACCAGCTGCCGCTCCGTGGGAGAAAAGATGTGGCCACCTGATCGTGTAAGGATTACAATCAAGAAAACCTTAAGAGTTTTCTACTCTGTCACATTAGGTCACTATGAGACAGAATGACAGCACATAATAACACTGTCCCCAGTATGCAGCAAACACTTAATAAATGTCACATAAATAAAAACATATTGAAAATTTTCATTTTGATTACATCTCACAATAAGATTTAAAGGAAAATTCTTCCGCTCAAAATAAGAAAAATCAAACGTAAATATAGTAATTAGGCAGCATAATGATATATAAGGGGGCTTTAAAAAAGTTTACAAAAAATGGAATTAATGATAGTTGAATTTTTCCACAAACTTTTCGAAGCCCTCCTCATACTTTAAAAACAAAGCAACTTCTAATTTTAATACTAAGAGGTAAAGACTAACTTGTCTAAGACTGATTCCCTATAGGTTGTTGTTGCTGTTAAATGATGTCCAGTCAGTTCCGGGAGATAGAGACCATATAGGTTGGCCTACTAATAAAAAAAACACGCTGGGCCATTAAACGGCAGATAAGGTAACTGGTTCACCACGGTTTCCACCACATAAAAATATGTAAGTGAAAGGCTTGCAACTTCCCAAACCATGAATGCTCAGGTGGCTGAAGAGGGCCAAGGCCAACATCCTACAACACCATACTGATATCATTGTGAGGCATGGGCCTCAGTCCTCTTTCCTTACTCATGCAACTACAAGTTTCACAGTCTTAAGCTTTGACTTCTGGCCCTGCTAGATCCCAGTGTGTTTTACCAGAATCCATTTGGTAACATACCTGCCACTGCTCTTGTCTCTATGAGTTTTCTTCAATAAATGCTATTCTACATTGTATGATCTGTGTGGTTACAAGTCATCCACCTTTGTTATTTGTTAGCTCAATGGATATGGTGAAATGCTCTTCAACTGAATATATGACACTACACTGAACATAACAAATATGCCACTAAAAGAGTTACTATAACTATTCTTCAGTATTCCTTATCTAAAATACACAATTATCTATAAGTCTGAAACTAATGATCTAGCTTTATATTTTAAAAAATTGTATATATAACTTAAGGAAGATTATAACAACAAAAAATTCATCCACATATACCTTTTTAATGAGATGAGGTTCTAATCCATTCTCTTTCACAGATTTGCACAGGGCAAACAAAGCCTGTTTTTCACAGACAGGGCTACATTGCAAAACCACAGCTATCATCATCAGTAAAACAGCTTTTCTATTATAAAGCTCATCTGAAAATTCCAGGTTCTCAATACTGTGGGACTTCAAAAGAATTTTAAAAAACATAGCAATGTAAACATGCATTACAATAATGCAATATAAATAATTAAATGCTATAAATAAACTGAGGCTAAAACCAAAACACCCTATGACATCGAAGCAGTCAGTGAAGTTTTGAGTTCTACAGCAACGGAGCTATGGGTAGAGAATTTTTTAAAAAATAGTTCTCTAGCGTATTATCTGCTCTTAATACTATCTATTGGAAAGAACTTCTAAAAGAAAAACATCCCAGTGAAAGACACCAAAAGTAGTTAAAAGATATTTTAAAAAAAAGAGAGACACTGAAAAAACGAGATACGGAAATCCTCTTTTCAACTAGCAAAAGTATAACTCCTAACATGCATATTATTATTATATCTAATAATCTTTTATACTTAAAAAATATCATACATATTATCAAAAGGAACACTAAGGTCATGGAACTAGATAGAATGATATACACTGTTTAGTTTAATGAAGAAATATTATAATACCCAGTAGGTAATCTATATTTTTTGGGGTTATTTATGTTAAAAATTTCTCTTTACATTTAGAAAAATTTGGTACATATCAATTATAATTTTGCATTTTGATACAAGAAAAAGAAAGAACCTAACTCCTTTACTAAGGGCAATCATTAACATGTTTGAAAATTGCCAATGACTCAACTATTCCTTACAAGAAACAAATCTCTAGATTCTTTAACATCTGGTTAAAAATCTACTTTAAATCACAACGAAGCCCAAACACAACATATTACCTGTCCTCTAAAATGAATACAAGATTCAAATTCTTTTATCTCCTTCTTTTCATGACACAATGCTTTTATTAAGAACCCTGGAGGCATAGTGAGTTACATGTTGGGCTTAGTTACTAACCACAGGGTCAGCAGTTCGAATGCACCAGCGGCTCTGCTGGAGAAAGATGAGGCTTTCTGCTACTCCCATAAACACAAACTCAAAAACCCTACACAGGGTCACTCTGAGTCAGAACCAACTCACCAGCACACCATCATACCAACCACACGTTTGTTTCCATTAATGTACTAAAAGATTTTTCAATTTTTGGTAACTATAAAACAATGAAGATTCATACTGTGCTTTCAAGATCTGTTTTACAAATGAATTACTATCAGGTCATTATTTTTCTTTTTATGATTTCAAATACATATCTCACCTACTCTTTAAATTTTTATTATTTTACACTCACGATACTGAAAAGCTTTTGTAAAAAGGATTTCATCCATACCCAACATCCATCTTTTTCCATTTTAAGCTATCAGAGGTTTGTTAAATCATTTGATCAACGGCTTTGAATACTTTTTAGAAACAAATCAGTGAATAAATAAATGAATGAATCTATCAGTTTAACAAAAAAGATACTCTACAGAAAAACATCAAAAGTGCAGGGTTCAATAAAAAGCAAGATAATACAGTATTTCCTGTTAGAACCTTTCCCATACTCTATATTTACCTACTGTTACTTGTTCTTTGAATTAGCTTTTAATTAAATCTTAAAAAATAAAATTTTAATAAAAAAGAAGTCATTTACAAGGGAACTTCAAAAAGTTGGGAAATGTAATTAAAATAAAATGTATTATTCTCATGAAATTTTTGACACTCCCTCATATATTTCCATAATAACTGTGAAATTCTGTTTTTCCCCATAAAATATTATATGGATAAAATTAATTAAAACATGCTAACATTTGATCAATTCTCACCTATAAAGAATGCAATTTCATTTAATTCATAGTTTTTTTAGTGTAGCTTTATAATGTAAACTATTGGATACAAACTGCCTTAAGACAAACTTCGTAGAGTATACTCTATCGTGTATTTATAGAAAGCATATGATAGTAGCAAATAATGTTACTAAAATTACCACTTCTTTCATTCCTTCCTGAGTTTTCAAGTATGCATTTTCAAAAGCTGTCTGCTGCATCTTCAAAGGAAGTGCTTTCATTAACCTGGAAGAATCTCCTTGCTTCATATCCTGGAATAATCTTAAAAAAATAATAAAGAAAAACATAAACTCGCCAAAAAAGACACATTTTCTGCTTGTCAAACACCAATTAGAGAGAGTCCATGAACTCCTCCATCAACCTGCTCTAACATTTAATTACCAAGGAAGTGGACAATATAAATGGATGTCTTGATGTTCCATTTACATTTTTTAATGTAATGGGTGGAACAATGGCTTTGGCATACATCACATCATCCTCAAGAACAACTCTTTAATTAATTTTGTCCTTTATGCTTTTTTAGTAGTAAAAATATAATTTTTGGTGTTCCTCAATTCTTCTAATTTCCCTGATCTTTCTTAAAATAGGCCAACATTATATATCTAATTTGTTGTTGTTGTTAAGTGCTGTTGAGTTGGTTCTGATTCATAGCAACCCTGTATAGGGTTTCTAACGAGCTGCTGGTGAGCTTGAACTGTCGATCTTTTGATTCAAACCAACCTTGCTATCCAGCGCATTAACCCACAGCACCACACAGGTGAATAAATACTCAACAAATACTACTTTTATGACATTATTAAATCTATGCATTTTTGAACCTGAAGTGATTTTTTTCCCCCCAGTGTCTTCAGGATATGCTTTCCATCATCTATTATGAAATTTAATAGGGACTTGAACTACTGCAAAAATCCATTAGTTATTCTCATAATACACCATTTTCTTACTTAAAAGAGTTCCAAACCTGAAGAGCTAAATACAAATTCTGACTGATGAAAACATTACTATCAGTCTATTTGAACTTTGGACACATTAGTTCTAATACTATAACGATGTGACTGCTGGGATAATTTATTTATAAAGATCTTCTATTATCAGTCACTTATGTTTGAACAGTAAAAGTACATAAATGATTTTAAGCTTTGGTGTTTGTAAAGCATCTTGCAATTTCTTGTTTCAATTACATTCATCTTTACGACTAATAGTTATTAAACATCTACACCATGGCAGATAATGTTTTGGAAGCAAGATATACAGGACTGAACAGAACAGACACACACACACAAAATATCAATGCTTTCAGCCAGCCACTACTGTGGCTGCTGCAGCTGCTGGTACCCCATTGCCAAAAAGAAGGCCAGCTCTGAGACAAGTCAGCCTCATCCCAGTCTAGTTATACCAAAGACTTCAAAATCTAAGAAGATGTGGAGAGAGACTGGAATCCCAGGAACATGGAAACCCGAATATTACAGCAGCAATTCATTGTCACTCTCGTCTTGCAAACACACAACTACATAAAACTAATCCTAAAGGAAATAAGAAGTTTTAAAGGGATTAATTTTGGGAATTCCAAGTTTTAATTTTTTTTTTCTTTTAAATGAAGTGATGGTGTATCTCATTACTTTGGAAATGTCTACTACTCTTACAATGTACTTTAAACCACAATTAGCAGATTTAAAAAAATTCCCTGCTGGTTCTCATAAGAAACTGTGAAATATGGTGTCCTGAAAAGCACCCTTTTAGTCTCACAGTTCATTTGTTCTTTTTGATAATATAAAAGCGATGCATTTAGTAATAGTAAAAAAAAAATCAATGTTTTCTAAAAACTTATGATCTAGCAAGGTACAAATGGTAAATGTTTTAAATAATTTAATATTTCAAGCAGTGATAGATGTTCTACGGAAAAATTAAGCAGGGAGGTGTTTTATTTATAAGAATAGGGAAGTGAAAATGAACATACTTTGCAATTTAGCTTTAAATCAATTTGATCACTTAATATACAAGCAGTCTATGAGAAGGTTTGCTTTTTCAATAAGTCAAGTATAAAACAGATCTCCGTAACAGAATAATTCCAGTGCTTAGCTGTATGTCCACAAAAGTCATAGAATAATTAATATAAAGTCATTACTACTTATCATTTTACACAGCCACTATATAAAATCATATAAAAATCATGGTAATATCCAAACATACCCTTCCACTCTATTTCCCATAAATGGTAGTAAACACAGCTCATTCAAGTTCATCATTTACTAGCTGTGTGGCACCAAGCAAGTTACTTTAGCTAAGGCACAAAGTTTTCATTCATAAATTAGAGAAGACACAAGGGGGCTTAAAAAAAATTCATGGAAAAATTACATTAGCTGTCAATTCAATTTTTCCACAAAATAGTATCTAAGTGTTGCTGCGTGCCGTCTAAGTTGTTGCTGTGTGCTGTCAAGTCGGTTCCAACTCATAGTGACTCCATACAGGGTTTGCAAGAGAATCTGATGAGTCTGAACTGTCGGTCCTATAGTTAGCAGCTCAGAGCTTATCCTACAGTGCCACACCAGGGTTTATCTTGGTTATTAGTTAGAGAGAAACCATAAATACTAGGCAAACAGTATATGCTCAGTTAAGTGTTAGCTAGTTTTAGTATTATAACTAGTGAGCTTTGACTGTACTAGACACAGCATTGTACACTACATTGGTATCTGTAGCGTTTCAAACACTTCATGAATATTTGACCATTACCTATTGATTGACTCTGCAGCCAGCATTCGGACTTGATGATGACTATCAGCAAGAAATTGTGAAAATACTTCATTTACAGGAAAGTCTTTTCCCATTACATTGAGAATAGCCCATTTTGAATAAGGATCAGCCTATTGGAAAAGAGCAACATCAAAAGAAATATCCATTAATAAACAGAAAGGTGTGATTTATTTCATCAAGTTTTATGAAAACTTAAAGTGGAATAACTCACCTCCAGCAGAGTCTTAAGGCATTTTACTAGTGCCATTCTTACAGAAAATGTGCATTTCCCCTCCTTTGTTAAGTGCCTAAAATAAAGTCATTGTTTCAATGTCAAACAATTATTCATCTAGAAGTATAGCCAGGAAAATCAATGAATATTACAATGATTCTAAGTTGCTTCCAGAATTTCTACGCATATCAAATGTACATAGTAGTATACTACCCACCTTTTCAAAAAATTCCAGGTAAATTAGTGTGAAAAAGAGTTCATTTTAATGTATATTATTTATTTTGTATAATGATGCCTTGTTTTGGGGACTATCAGACTTTAGCAAACCATGTTATAGTGAATTTGCTTTAAAACTGAAAACTATCAGGTATTCGTTTTTATATCAAACAATTCAAAACTACACTCTACGCTGATTTTACTTTCTCATCAGTCAAATGGTATAAAGGCTTTAAATTACATAGCTATGCTCCTCTAAGGGTTGTTGTCGTTAAATGCTGTCGAGTCGGTTCTGACCCATAGCGACCCTGCACAAGGATTCCAAGGCTGTAAATCTTTACGGAAGCAGAAAGCCTCATCTCTCTCCCATGGTAAATGCTGATAGTTTGGTATGTAAAAAGCATATAATGACAAGGACCATTTGGTCACTTTGGGAATATGAACCACTTAATTGATTTAGGATTACTGCACTTTGCTTTATTCACCAGACATGTCAAACTATTAACTGATAAAAATCTGTAGGAAAATATACTAAATATATTTTAGAAAGTCAAACTTTAAATTGTTTGAATAATAAATTAGTTATTTAAGAAATTAACAATACACATTATATTCTTACTATTCTTAACCAGGAGTCCTGGTGTGGTGCTACGAGATAAAGCTCTGTACCACAAGATTGGTGTGAATCACAAAGTCAGCAGTTCAAACTCACCAGCCACTCCTTGGAAACCCTGTACCAGGTCGCTGAGTTGGAACTGGCTCAATTACACTTTAACACCAATTCTTAACCAAACCCAAATCAAACATATTGTCATTGAGTAGATTCTGACTTATAGCTATCCTTTACAGGGTTTTTTTTAGTACTAGTGAGTCGGTTCTAACTGATAAGTGACCCTGCATAAGGTTTCCAAGGAGTGGCTGGTGAGTTGGAACCGCCAACCTTATGGTTCAAACCAACCATGAAGTGGAGTGTTTAATCTACAGCATCACTTTGTTGTTGTTAAGTGCCATCAAGTTGGTTCTGACTCATAGCAACCCTCTAAGGGGTTTTTGAGGAGTGGCTGGTGAACCTGAACCTCTGACCTTGTAGTCCAGTGCATTATCCCACACTGCCACACCAGGACTCCACTGGTGATTGGTGGTTATGTGCCATGGAGTCAGTTCTGACTCATAGTGATCCTGTACAGGGTTTCTGAGGCTGTAAATCTTTACGGGAGCAGAAAGTCTCATCTTTATCCTGAGGAACAGCTGGTAGTTTCGAACTGCTGACCTTGAGGTTCGCAGCCTGATTTGTAACCACTATGCTACCAGAGCTCCTTAGGACTCCACTAGAAGGCTGAAAATCTTTATGAAGAGAAAACCTTATTTTTCTCCCGCATAGTGACTAATGGGTTTGAACTGCTGACCTTGGGTTTAGCAGTCCAGTGCTTATTCAACAGCACCACCAGGACTCCTTTCTATTGTTAAAATAAGTATATAATTACATTGGAGAATTCAAAAAAATTAATAGAATAGAAATGAAAAGTTTGTATTTGTATCAACAGGTAGCAAACGAAAAGTAAGAATTCCATAAGTAGGTTATACCTACCAAAAGGCTCCAATCACTGTTAGAAACTGCCCTTGGGCATCTCTTGTGTTCTCATTGTCCATACTGCCTTGACTTAGGTTGGTTACTACATGAAGGGCATGGTTTAAAATTGCTTTACAAACATCTTGGTCACGGCGATACAAAGAACATATATTGCTGTGGTAGAAAAAGTTTAACCTTATAAGCACAACTTGACACATCAATTATTTTATAAATTTAGAGTGAATATAACATGTTTTTAATTTCTTACGCTAGAGGCTTCAGGAGCTCAACAACATCCTCGATTGGCAAGGGACAGTCTTCTCCTGGAAGCTCCTTTAAAAGCACTAGATACTAAGATGATAGAAGGGGAGAAACAGATTTTTTCTTCATAGATCATTTACTTAGATAAGTATTTTATATGTAACCATAAATTCATATACAAACACATTCTCACACAAAGAGCTATGAATTTTAAGAAGGGGAAAAGATTTACTTTTGTAACATTCTGAACAAAATCTAAATATAATCATAAGAAAACCCAAAGACAGAAACTCTACAAAGCAACTGGCCTATAGTATTCAACAATATGAAAGTCTTGAAAGGTATGGAAAGACGAAGGAACTGATCCAAATTAAAGACTGAAGACATGACAATTTGCAATGATGTAATGTTAATTACCTAATTTTGATATTTTATTTTTGTTCATTTAAGAATATTCTTGCTTTTAGAAAATAGATGCTTGAAGTATAAGGGTAGAATATGCAACTTAATTTTAAAACGGTTCCAAAAAATGTTAATTTGTGTGTATATATATAAATATACAGAGAAAAGAAATGAAATAGCCAACGAGTTAATGGCAGAAAATTAGAGAGTATACGGTGTTTTCCAGGAACAGAGGACTCTAGGACCATAAAAGGAGAAGAGCATGAGCAGAATATGGTACCCTATCCAGAGAAGCAGCATCATGATGCTAGAATACCCTTGTTTGCAATGTTTTTCATAGTTTGTCATGAGCCACACAGTCTAAATCCTTTGCACAGACTATAAACCACCGGTAAATATCTTTCTGGTATTCTGATTTCAGCCAAGATCCAATCTTATAGCATCAGTGATATCCTTCATTCCTTATCTTCGTCCAAATCCTGTTTGAATCTCTGGCAGTTCCCTGCTGATGTACTGTTGCAGTCGTTTTTGAATCGTCTTTAACAAAATTTTACTTTCTTATGATATCAATATTGCTCGATGATTTATTCTTTGAGTGACCTCCTTTGGAATGGGAACAACATGGATCTCTTCCAATCAGTTGTGCAGATAGCTGTCTTCTACATTTCTTGGCATAGATGAGTTAAATGCCATCAGGGCTGCATCAGTTTGTTTAAAGATTTCAATTTGTATTCCATCCGTTTTTGTAGGTTTTTTTTTTTTTGCAATGCCTTCAGTGCACTTTGGACTTATTCCTTCAGTATCATTCTTTTTAAAAAAAACAACTTTATTGTGAATTGACTATAATCTGTACTGTTTACAGTACAGATCATCAGCTTTACATTCAACAAATCACCTACTTTGCTTCATTACATGGTTGCAATACCCACCCCTCCATGTAGCAACAGTTACCAGCATTTACCTCTATTTACTGTAACTAGTGCATTCCTCCTTGTTTCTTCCCTTACATTCATCTTTCCTCTGCTAAACACTTGTATACTGTCTGCCCTATCACCCGTGTTAACATGTGCCTACCCTCTAGGCCATGAATAATTTTTCATCTCCTTCCCTTCTCCTGTAATCATCAGATTGTTTCTTTTATCAACAGAACTTTAAGGTTTTAAAACTCTGGTCTCATACAGTGTTTGTCCTTTTGTGACTAATTCTACTCAGCATAATGTCCTCCAGGTTCAACCATACTGTGAGATGTTTCACAGACTCATCATTATTCTTCAACATGTTGTAGTATTCTAATATGTGCATGTACTAAAGTTTATTTTACCATTCTTTGAAGGACTGATGGGCATTTAGGCTGCCTCCATCTGAAGGATCCTATTTTCTTATCCATTCTGCTCCTTACGTCTCTTGACCTGTATGTTTAATTCAATTACATTCAGAGTAATCAACTGGCATTAACTGATCATTGTCATTTTTCTGTATTTTTTTTTTTTGTGTGTGTGTGTGTGTGTGGTGCTGCTGGACTCCTTGTTTCATATCATTTTCTATGCTGAGTTCATTCTGTTTGTGGATTTTCATTTTCATTTCTGTTGTGTTGTTGTTGCTGTTAAGTGCCATCGAGTGTCAGTTCTGATTCACAGCAACCCTATATAGGGTTTCCAAGGAGCTGGTGTTGATCTTGAACAGCTAATCTTGTGGTTCAAACTGACCCTGCAGTCCCGCAAATTAACCCAGAGTACCACATGTTTACTAAATCTTTCTAATTTCCTTTTTTTTTAATGTGCAGTTATAGTTTTTCTTTACGGTTATTCTGTAATTTATTTTTTCTCTACTTAAAGCAGTCTATTTTATCTTGACATCTATCTGACTTCCTTGCCATTTGTAAGTTCTGTATATATACTATTTCATCTTTTTGCTTTGTGTTGACTTTATTATACATTGACAGCTGATTCCCTATTTTCAGTCTTATGGGTTCCTTTTCATTTTAATGCTTTGATATCCTCTGAACTGGAACCAACTACTTCCAGGTCAGGAGCCCTGAACTCAGACAACATCTATCACAGCAGGAACTCCATCTATACAGAGTTTCCCACCCCTTCTCCCCTACCCTGTGATCTCCTTGGCTGGCAGAGGGTGCCAACCCATACGAGGTACCCTGTTCCCCAGTTTCTTCTTCTTT